AGAACAGCTTAAAAGAAAATATAAATGCAGTCTGAGATAATAACTCACAGTTTGTATAGACACTTGTAAAATGAGTATGAAAAGGACGACTGGTTGTGTGATTAGAATTCAGATTTACACCGTGTACTGTCATTCACATCTAATGCTTTGGATGTGAAGCCTCCTCAAGGTGTCTACTCTGCTCTTTAATCTTTAGGTTGCTGATGTTTCTCTGCTTACAATCCAATCTCAATTCCTGCAAGGACCCACTAAGAGTCAGACACTTTTCCTCCTGTGCAGCCTTGCTTCTTGTTTATCTTTTTCCTCTCCGTCTCTGATCAGACAGAGCGGTTTTTGCAATTTGCTGCACGTTTTTTTTCCTTTTCTTTTTTCTTGTAACTAAATGAGCGCTAACGTTAGCTCAACACAAACCATGAACCGTACGCTACCTAATAGTTAATAGTACAGTTTAAATTAATTGAAACAACTTACCCGAAATCTCAAGTAGCTAACGATCAAATGTGCGTCCTGTGGTTGGTATATAGGGGCTAGGGTCAGGGGTTAGAGTTGAAGTTGCTGTAATTTAGCAGGAAGCTTCACTGACTGAATTAAATAAAGTAAAAAGAAAGATAAATGGATTTCCGGCACCGTAAATCCGTCACTGTAACTTTACTGCTCAATTTGCTTGTTGTCAGTTTGGCTGACCTTTCAATTGGATGTTGTGACGTCCTTAGATGGGAAGGGTGAGGCAAGTAAAATAGTCAGTGGGAAAGATTGTAAAGCTCTACGTAGACGTGCACAAAAACGATTAACTTCTCCTTCACATATTTACCATAGAGTGATATTTAAGAAAATACATCTGACAACAATTGGTTGTTCCTCGCCACATGGCGTTCTAAAAGTTGAAGTATTTTTATTTTGAGGCGCTGTCTGAAAAATAGGCGCAAGGGAATGCTTGAGTAGGCTACTGCTATGGTGTCACTCCCGCTTTTGAGTTTTAAGCTGCAGGTATCCAGCCAAAGCCACCACAAGGAGAATAAAAAACGCTAATGACGTCACTTTTCCGCGCTGAGTTTAATTATTTCCTTCTTCAATGGGGCCCTGCAAAAAAAATGTGAGGCGCTCAGCTACGCAAAAGCAGCGAGAAAAAACACGTCATTCAATTACAAAAAGTCGCTACAGGGAGCTAAAACGCGCTTTGTCTGATCAGCTGAAAACACCCAGCTGGGAGCTCTTGAGAGCACTATCGTCTTTTCAGCTGATACACTTTGGTTGCATCTGGTTGCTATAATACGGAATTACTGCAGAAGTAAAAATGTCGGCTCAAAGTAGAGAACTTGCTCTAGATGAAGCTCTAGCATAAATTCAGTCAGGAAGACTATACTCTTGCATGCCTGAGCCCATAGTTTATTTCTCATACATCTGCCAATCACTCCTCACACATGCTCACTCATTATTTCCTAGCTGTCATTGTTCGGGGCTGTCAATCGTGATATCAGGTGTTTAGAGTCTCCTTTATCCAATAGCACAACTAAACAATTACATCGTTAGCCTATCATCTTGCTGCTGTCTCTTTTTAAATATGATTGTCTCTCTACCTTCAGTACGTTCATGCGGCTGCTACGTACCCCTCCACCTCCCCATCTCTGCCCAGTCTTTGCAGATTCATCCGATTCATCAACTCGTCATTCTATCATCATCCTCCACCACCACCACCACCAGTGTCTGGACTCCACGGGGGGGGAATTCATCTTGCTGCTGCTCAGGGCAGATGCCCCTCGATTACAAATCTCCCAGTAGAGTGTGGTAGACTTGTCTCTCCTGATTGAAATAAAGGACGGAGGGAACGGACCTGCTGGTCGAAGTGGGTAATGAGACTTTGTGGGGGCGAGGAAACTTCTTGGCGAGTATCGTTTTGTTCAGATTTTATTTTAACTTTATTATCCAGCAACATAAAACCCACATTAAAAACAATAATACAAAAAGCATAACATACAGAATAAGACCACAACATACTCAAAATAAAACACGTTTGAACACATCTTTGCAGTAGAATATTTGTCTAGCCCTGGGTAAAATATACGGCACATTTTTCAACTCTACGTGACCAGAAAAAAAGTGCAACGCTCAGCACAGAATAGATGCTCAACGCCTCGTCACCCTGCTGGCCCCTAAGTCTCCACTGGCCTTTTTTGCACTTCAGGCCCTCTCTCTACTCGGTTATTGTCTTTCCGACCCTTTCTCTCTTCCACTCTGTCTGTGTTTACTCATTCCCTTTCCCATTGCATCCTCTGTCTTCTATTGATGGATTGAAAAGTTCAGGTTCCTCAGTCCACAGAATGCCAAATAATGTCTAAGCTGCCCCACCACAGAGCTCAGAACCTCCACGTAAAAAAAACCAAATCAATAGCTGGGAGATTGGAAAGGTCACTGCAAGCTGTTTTTTTTAGTGATATAAGAATAAATAAAGAACTATTTTACATGCTCCAATCATATACACAAGCAAAAATGGCTGTTGTCGAGCTGCATTGGCTCATGTGTACCACCAATCACCCTACACTTGCGTCACTCATGGTTCCTCTTGTGCTGGGAAAGTACCTACTCTGAAGCAGGAGCTGAAAAGGTCCCTCAAAACAGCGTTCTAAGAACTCCGATTGTTTGTAGTTCTGGAGGCGAGGATACAATACAAATGGGGGTTCTTAGGACTACATTCTTAGAACTATGAAAAAGTTCTCCTGTCTGAAAACTTAGATTATCACTAAACCATTAATCCACAATGTCATTATTATTGTGATATCATTAGAACATTTGAGAGAGAACAATGATGCTATCTGTCACATTCATCTTTAATTTAGTTTATTGAGCATTTTGTCTGTTTTTTGGCAAGATCATTACACTCACGAGTGTTTGGAGATGGAGAGAGGCTGTAACGATAATTGTAAGTAAGTCTGTGACTGTAACTGTAACAAAAGAGGCGCTGATTATATTATTATTCGTGTGATCTAAATGTTTGTGACTTTTGGACATGTCTTGTATTATGTTGCAGCAGTATTAGGTATGAATTCTTAAATAAATAGAGAACATTTTACAGGTGTAGTTGAAGACGGATCCTGTCTTGTGATAGCGCTCCTAAAGATTCCCTTTACCGCCTATATGCTCAGTCCTCGCTTTGTTCTTCTTTCACTGTCATAAAGTGCAACCACTGGTAAACATTGTTGAACAGTAACATCTCATGAGAGGCTCCACTTTGCCTGTGATTGTACGGTCTCATTATCCTTACAGGAGATAACTACCACTCTAACATGATTGCTTTTGTTTTTCAGTAAAAACAGGCTGCATGAAACATGGGGGACAAATATAAATATTCAACCTTGCCATATAACCTATTTAGCACAGAATAAAATCTTTGCTCCAAAGGAGAAAAATAACCATTTTGAAGGTGTGCATAGATCTAAATGTAAACACATAAAAACCAACTTGTCAATCAACTTGTGTAACAAACAATATTTATATAAAGAAACGGAAGCTGTATTTAGATGTGCCAGTGCTGGTACCCTGGTATTGTTCTCACTGGCATGAATCTCCAGTAATCCATGCCACTGGGTTCTTTCCACACAGCATCCATGCAGCTTTTGCCTGCAGCTGTAGATAAAGGCAACAAACAACACCAAGTGGCGCTAAATCTGGATGTAGTCAGCCGTAGAGGACACAGGATTCATGATTCTTGAAACTGCTTTACTACTGCTGTTACCATTTTTTGTTTTCTTTCATATTACTTACAATCAGACAAAAAGGGAAAGACCAGTTGCCCAGTGGACTGCACACTGGTTTCTGCTTGGAGATTACCCCCCATCCCCCCCTGGCATTTGGATATGGTGCTTTAAGTACTGAAGAAGGCAAAGTAAAAGTAGGACCTGAATTAGCTGTCAGTCAAGACTGCTTATCTTCTGGCTCCCACCAAGAGGCTGAGAGAATAGATGCTTTCTCTGTCCATCGCTATTTGTGCAAGTTCCTGCCTAAAGGCACATTAATAATTCACTGGGTGGACGTGATGTTGTCCCACATATGAGATGACTCCTGCCTTTTCCATTCGGCTTTGCACGTGGTGAGCTGGCATGAGTGCTTCTCCTTCAAACAGCAAACTCACAGTATCTGTTGCTTTGGCTTGAAGCAGCAGTTTGCATCTGGTAATACATGCTGGCCCAGTAGTGTGTGCGTAATGCATATATGTAAATAGTTCACTTGCTTTGAGAAATAGCCCTACAAATGTATTATTATTATTAGGAGTGTTTTCTTTGGAGTGCTATTTTTGTTTGGTGTCTGCAATACAGTTAGGAAAAAATACAAAAATGTATGTACTTGATTGCTTGATTTAAAACTTTTGTATCTCCATTTTTTTTAATTAAATAGGTCGTTTTAAGCCTGGAAAGGTGCTGGAAAGCGAATAGCAAACATCTTCAGTGTAAGATGGTAAAAAATACTTACACTGCTTATTTGTTCCTAATTCTTCTTTTTATTCTATCGATCCATAGTTGGCTTTTGGGCTGATCTTCAGGTCCAACACATGGACAAAAATATTAACAATAATACTGTCAAGAATTGAACACCTATTTTTTAATACATCATAAATAATGACCTTTGGGTGTTGTTTATGGGTGAACTTTTATCTCACTAAATGTATATAGAAGCTTACAGGGTGAGATGAAACCTGTTGCTGTACTCTTTCTGTGTGGAGGTATGCTATTTATGTTAGCTGCAGGAGTTATATATTGTAATTCCCTGCAGAACAGAATGAGAAGAGATAAAGGGAGAGTGCGTTTCTTTTGGCAAATCGTTACAAAAAGCAGGATTGGGGGATAACGTTGCTAGGAGACCCTGACATCAACTACTTATCCCAGAATCATGCTCACTGTGTGTGTGTGTTTGCGCACCTCCTCTCCCCTCTGCGTCTGTGTGTCCTTGCTCTTGCTCGTCCTATAAAGCCGTCAGCATCTTCTTCGCTCTGTTCTCTGTTGCTCGAGTAAAGTCAAGGCTAAATTACAGTCAACTCAGATGTGCCTGGAGAATGAACGGCGGACGAATCGACACTCTGAACACACTGAACCTCACTTCAGGGGAGAACAGAAAGGTGAAAACAAACTCAAGGAAGCTGCGAGCACAGTGGATTGTTTGTCTTTGGGTATTTGACGACCGAGCTCATAGAGGACATCTGTCTGCCTCTCAGCGTACGCTCTGCACCTCGTGAGCAACACAGCATGCTTTAAAGCTCTGAGGAGGTAGAAGGGCAGTTTTCATCCAGCCTGATCCGAGGAAAAGAAGCACTTCGTCCTCTCTCAATCGCCTTCTATTCCTTTGTGTCCCCTCGGTCATTATGTTTCTGCTTTGGGCAATGAAATGAACAACTCTTCGCGACTTCAGGGGATTTTGTCCCATCATGTCTGTGCCTCTTTGTACTCTGCGTCCTCCATACTCCCACCTTTTCCTCCACAACGCAGACTTTTCCCCGTGAAACTGCTTTCTTTCATTCCTCCATTTCTTTTCTCCCAAAATTTTGTTTTTCCTCAGACACACTCACATATGCTCCATCATCAGCTCTTCCGACCTTGCACAACTCCCTTGCCTGATCTTTTCCCCCTTATTTACCTTTCCTCTCTCACCATTTTCGACTATCCGATTTTCTCTCCTTTCCTGAGCCTGAGAGCTCCCGGGACTCAGTGGCTGACCACACACTCATTCTCTCTCCTAATCGCCACCTCTCCTCGACCCGCTCTCCTCCGCGCTTTTTCTTTCACCTCCCTCACAATTATCCTTCCCGTCCTGTCACAATGTACTCCTCTGAGGAGCTCTGGAACACCACCGAGCACGTATGGATCAACGGCTCCAAGGCAAACTTCTCTCTGCGAAGACACGGGGAAGATGAGGAGGAGGAAGATGATCAGCACCCCTTCCTCACAGACGCCTGGCTGGTCCCCCTCTTCTTCTCCCTCATCATGCTGGTTGGACTGGTGGGCAACTCTCTCGTTATATATGTAATTTCCAAACACAGGCAGATGAGGACGGCAACCAACTTCTACATAGGTGAGGAAGAGAAAAAGAAACTGCATTCAAACACAGCTTACTTTGTCATGAAATCCAAGTGCATCAACTTCAAATAGATCCTATAGATATTTCATGCAGGTCTCTTTCAGGGAGCTGAATTTCAATGTACACTTTGTCCAATTACTAAACAGCTGTGTGTAAAAATGTCAATTACGTGTTTCATAAAAAAAGGCTTCACTTTCACCATGAGGCTGAGAGACAGGTACCCAGATGCGTCCTGAATTTGAAAATCTAAACACGTGGAATAGTTATCTGCCGAGAGTGTTTTGGAGATCTTGCTGCATATAATTTGGATAAATTGACTTGTGCAAGTAAATCATTTCTATGGCTGAAGAGCTCAGGGCTTAAAATGTGTTTCGCTTGTTTGCGCTTATTTATAGAGCTCGGCAACTCTGCGGATAATGCACTTCATTATTTATACTTCTGTTTCCATTGAGCTTTGCATTTATTGACACATGAATTCACCTCAAACAAGCAATTACAACTTTTTGTGCTATTTCGATAATTCTTTCAAATTTCCAGCTTTTCTATTCAGATTTTCTTGATACACAAATTAAAAATGCACATAAAAACAGGTTGGTGGATAGATGCTGTCATTAATCTCAGGTGTACCAAGTAAAACAAGAGAAATCAAAGGAGTGCATCGATCATGCGCTGGCCTCACGTCTCCTGTGGTTTTCAGTGCGCTGGCTTGAATCCTGGGTGATTGATTTCTGTTGTTAAAGTCAGTTACAGCACGTCTGATAGAGCTTTGCAGTCACCTGTCACTTGGGAAGAATTGCAACGGTGACTAATTGAGGTTAAGTCAGCGGGAGATAAGAATTAAAATAATAAAACACCTAAAATAATAAAAAGGCATGTCACATAGATACATAGCTTGTCTGTTTTGTGCGAATCTGCGATTTACCGTTTATCATTTCTGTCTCTGTTTGCATATTGCACCATGTATGTGTCATGAATTTAATCTTGGATAATGTGCCATGGCCAGAGCATTGAATCAGTTTAATATTCAGCAGCATTAGATTAGCGCCTGCACCATCTGCCCACCCTTTCAACATAATGGGCCACCTACTATAACGGGATTAGATCAATTCAATTCAATTCAATTTATTTTTGTATAGCCCAAAATCACAAGTTACAAATTTGCCTCAGAGGGCTTTACAATATGTACACATTTGACATCCTCTTGTCCCAGGACCCTCACATCGGAACAGGAAAAACGCCCCCAAAAAAAACCCTTTAACGGGGAGAAAAGAGGAAGAAACCTGTGGGAGAGCAATAGAGGAGGGATCCCTCTCCCAGGATGGACAGAAGTGCAATAGATGTCATGTGTAGAACAGGATAGTGAATTACAACACATTCAATGTATGACAGCATGTAAAACAAATAGGAAACAGCGTGTGGCGTATTTGTCAGAATGAAAAATACACTACACACTAAATCTAGAAAAAATGAAAAGCAAGATCAGACTGCAACCTCTGCTTGGTGCTCTATCTAAACATACATTTGTGTTTTTGTGTGTATTCATATGAAGATACTGTGTAGGCAATGTGGATTTAAATCAGCAGTTAGCATGTTTTTGCACATCTGTGTTTATGTGTACTGTAGGACCTGTTGTCAGTCCATCAAGAGTTTCTCTACAGCACCTCATCAAGTAAACACGTGCTGAATTTGAAGCGCGCTCTTAGTACTTGACATCAAATGCAACCGATTCACCAAAGAATCAGAGACAACCGTGGTGGAGACAGAAACTACAGTTCAATTATCAAAACTAAACACAATAACCTTCAGGAAGGTATTATTTACTGCATGGGAATTGCACAGGATTGCATTAGCAAATGTTGCAAATGTGTCCCTCTTTGTCAGGTAGTTAAAAGTATACCCACAGATACAATTGTCTGTCTGTTAAACACTGCACACCAGACATCCTATGTGTTGTTTTCTCTTTGTGCAGCAAACCTGGCTGCCACCGACATCATTTTCTTGGTGTGCTGCGTCCCCTTCACTGCCACCCTCTATCCCCTCCCTGGATGGATCTTTGGCAACTTCATGTGCAAATTTGTTGCCTTTCTACAGCAGGTAAAAGCATGACTAATATTTTTTTTTATCACATCACAATCATAATTTCAATTTTCCTGGCTCAAAAATGTGCGTTCACACACAAAGACGTATTATTTTGCTGTGTGAAATGGAGAAATTGTTGCTCTTAAGTTGATCAAAACCTGATAATATTAAAATTATAATATTATGATTAAATAAATCTATTTACAGCAATGAAATTTAGGACCATTTTAGGTACAACCAGACACCTTCACCATGAGCAACAAAATATGCACGGACTTCATTACTCAGCTGCATGTCAGAGAAAACTCATCTTTTAAATCCACTCAAGGAGGTCACAGTCTGTCCTTTTTAAAATGTCAGTTAAGGTTTAGAAATCTTCTATCCAAGATGTTGCATTCATTGACGTTTTTTCAAAAGAGTTTAATTTACATAGCTGACAGATGATGACAGTCGGATGTCAAAGCAACTACCAAACTCCAGCATGAAAAAAAAGCACAGGAGGGGAAGCATAAAACAGCAGCAACCATTTAGAGAGACCAAAATGTTTCTACAAGTTGTAGGAGCAAACATTTTAAAGAAATATTTAGATGTATGCCACCATCTGACCCAAGAGTCGACTCACACCAACCTTACAGGATGCTTTAAACAAAGATGTTGAGCCTTGTGGCAGAGCCATAGACTGTATATAAGACGTGGATGTATTCGTTGAGACTTCACCAATTGGTTTGTCCCGCCCTAAAGCATACCTTGCTTTATGGTCTATTTTACTCTAAATGGGACAAAGAGTTACAAAATGAACATCATGTTGTATTGAAGAAGGCTTGAAATGAGCGATTGAGACAATAAACTCATATTTACAATGTACTGAAATAATAAATCAAGTGAGAAGTAGGGTCATTGTCACAACATCTTTTTTGCAACCAGAGGAGTCGCCCCCTGCTGGCCATTAGAAAGAAGGCACTTCTTCACACTTCAGGTTGCCGCCTGGCCAGCGCTTCCTCCTTGTTTTTCGTTGACCAATGCACAACTAAAGGAATGACAGCTCTATGTGTCGTTCCCTAAAAGCATGCATGCTGAACAAAAGCTTATTGCTTGTAAGCATTAATTCATCTCCTCCGCGAATCGCCACCTTATCTCCTCCGCGAATCGCCACCTTATCTCCTCCGCGAATCGCCACCTTATCTCCTCCGCGAATCGCCACCTTATCTCCTCCGCGAATCACCACCTTATCGTGGTGGAGGAGTTTGAGTGGCTCAGTGATCCTGGGAGCTATGTTGTCCGGGGCATTAGCCCCTGGTAGGGTCTCCCAAGGCAAACAGGTTTCAGGGGAGAGCCCAGACTAAGAGCGGTTCAAAACAACCCCTATGATAGTTAGCCCACAGACTACAGCCACCTCGCCCGGACCAGGGAAACCGGGGCAGCCTCCCGGAGCCAGACCCAGGAGGGGAGCTCGTAGGCGAGCGTCTGGTGGCCGGGCCTTTGCCCATTGGGCCCGGTCGGGCTCAGCCCGAATAAACACCATGGAGCAGCCACCCTGTGGACCCACCACCCGCAGGGACAAGCATCGGGGTCGGGTGCTATGCAGACCGGGCGGTGGGTCGGGCGGGAGGCCCGGGCATGCCGATCGCCGGCGGCGTAGACTAGCTCTAGGGACGTGGAACGTCACCTCGCTAGCGGGGAAAGAGCCGGAGCTGGTGCAGGAGGTGGAGCGATACCAGCTAGAAATAGTTGGACTCACCTCCACACACAGCGTTGGCTCTGGAACCAAGCTCCTGGAGAGGGGTTGGACTTTGTACTTTTCCGGAGTTGCCCAGGGTGAGAGGCGCCGGGCGGGAGTGGGGATACTCACGAGCCCCCGGCTAAGCGCCGCTGTGTTGGAGTTCTCCCCGGAGAGCGAGAGGGTCGCCTCCATGCGCCTACGTGTTGCGGGGAGCAAGGCTCTGACTGTGGTTTGTGCTTATGCACCAAACAGCAGTTCAGAGTATCCGGCCTTCTTGGAGTCGGTGGGAGGGGTCCTGTCATGTTACAACGGGCGATCCGGTCTCTGTACGACTGCAGTAGGAGCTGTGTCCGCATTCTCGGCAATAAGTCAGACACGTTCCCGGTGGGTGTTGGCCTCCGCCAGGGCTGCCCTTTGTCACCGGTCCTGTTCGTGATTTTCATGGACAGGATATCTAGGCGCAGCCTGGGGGCGGAGAACGTCAGTCTCGGGAGTCTCGGGATCGCCTCTCTGCTATTTGCAGATGATGTGGTCCTGTTAGCCTCCTCGGATCGTGACCTCCAGCATTCACTGGGGCGGTTTGCAGCCGAGTGTGAAGCGGCGGGGATGAGAGTTAGCACCTCCAAATCTGAGGCCATGGTGCTCTGCCGGAAACCGGTGGATTGCTCCCTCGAGGTGGGGACGGAGTGCCTACCTCAAGCGAAGGAGTTCAAGTATCTCGGGGTCTTGTTCACGAGTGAGGGTAAGATGGAGCGGGAGATCGACAGACGGATCGGTGCAGCTGCAGCAGTAAAGCAGGCGCTGCACCGGACCGTCTTGGTGAAGAGGGAGCTGAGCCGGAAGGCAAAGCTCTCAATTTACCACTCGGTCTACGTTCCTACCCTCACCTATGGTCACGAACTCTGGGTCGTGACCGAAAGGACAAGGTCGCGGCTACAAGCGGCCGAAATGAGTTTCCTCCGTAGGGTGGCCGGGCTCAGCCTTAGAGATAGGGTAAGGAGCTCGGTTATCAGGAGGGAGCTTGGAGTCGAGCCGCTACTCCTTCGCGTCGAAAGGAGTCAGCTGAGGTGGTTCGGGCATCTAATTAGGATGCCTTCTGGACGCCTCCCACTGGAGGTTTTCCAGGCACGTCCAACTGGGAAGAGACCCCGGGGAAGACCCAGAACACGCTGGAGGGATTACATCTCCCAGCTGGCCTGGGAACGCCTCGGGATCCCCCAGAATGAGCTGGAACATGTTGCCAGTGAGAGGGAGGTCTGGGTCGGCCTGCTTGACCTGCTGCCACCGCGACCCGACCCCGGATAAGCGGTGGAAAATGGATGGATGGATGGATGGCATTAATTCATTTTTTGGGCCACTTGGGGACAATGCTAATTAGCTGTAAACACAACACTGACATATTATCAACAGGGGTCACATGTTCACAAAGACGTTTTATCCTTGTACTGTATGTGGAACATTTTGCCAGTTTTTGTCTTTATTTCAAACCCACCTACTTACAGGAGTGGACTCAATCAATCAGCTTCGCACAATGCGTAGTTCTCAGTTGAAGAAGCAGATTAAAGTTTGGATAAATGCATCATTAAGAGAAGCCAAGCAAAGATTGCAACGTGTTGACTCCATGCAGCTTATTCAAATAGGATAGCCAATTAAAATATGCTTAAACCCACATCGTGAGGCAAATGAGTGTGCGTCAAGCTCAGTCAGACATTACAAACCCACGCTTCACGACTACACTGTAATTACACTTTAATAACATGCACTAATAACTGTGGAGGACTAAAAATATGCTCTGTTTTCACCCAGACACAAGTAGCTTGACAAGGCTATACTGTCACTCAGGATTATAGAGAAGTGGAGGATTGCCATGGAACCTGTTTAGTTATTAAGCAACATGTCAAGAAATACAAAATCTAGAGCCACACTGTCCTCGGGTGAAAAAAAAAGAAGTGAAGCTCCTTTAGAAAACTGAGCTCGACGAAAACATGCTGTAAATTCAATTCATTTTGTTTGGAGATTAAAAGTATACCTCATTCATTTTAAAGCTAGAAGGGAGGAGGAGATGATCTGTCTGATGAAGACATTTTCTTTTGAATGCAGAATGAAGAGATGTTCACGACTAATTTAAGCATTGAAGAGGAAGATGTCAGTCTGAGAAGCGGCCCAACAACACAGGCAGGGAGGCAGAAAGGCTAAAAGCATTTTTAATTGAAAACACAGGATTTAGTTTATGCCTATAAACATGGATTCTAAGACCCTATGAGCTTGTCTTTGGTGAAACAATGACTCTTGAGGAAAACGATTGAACCCAAATCTTCTCTTTTTGGAAAAGCAATTTTCTGTCTGTTTCATCCAACTGTCTTCTCTGTCTTTCATCAACTCGCTTTTTCTGTCTCAGTCGCATTCTTTTGTCCAAGAAATAGTGACTGTTATCCTGAGTAGTGTCTCAAAATGTCCACATTTGAATAAAAACATTAAAAAGGGAAACATCAGATGAAGTGAACTAAGCCTGCTGTGTTGACATCCATCATCAGTCTCTGTTAAAGCAACATCACATGACAGATTGCTCTTCTATACTTCATATAGTACAACTGATTGTACCACACAAGGAAACAACCAAGGGCTTGATAGGATTGTTGATCAGTCTCTGCGACTATACTTTAAAAGCTGGCACCAAAATGTTCGCTTTTGAAACTGATTTTCCACTCGCACAAACGAGATATAACGTGGTAATTGGTGAGTTTTAGAGGTGTTGCTGGCAGATTACATTTGGACAAAGTCATATTGATCGAATAGATATAAATTGTATCAATCTTCTCATCTAAATCTCATCAAGAAAGCAAAAAAGAATAATTACCAAATTGTTAACTATTCCTTTAAAGCCGTCTAAAACGTCTCAGGTCTACCACGACATACGTGACTATGAAACCAGAGGAAGTCCTTGCCAAGTCTTTGCACACAAAATGTTTAACCATTGAGAATAGTAATGCCACTAAGTGATGATAGTATTAAACTTACATCCCTATACAGCGCGGGGTGCAAGATCCATATGACTTTTAGTTTGGCTCAGAAAAACAGCAAGAAAGAACCCAAAAGCAAAACTCACACAAGTTAAGATTATTCTTCATGTTTACTTTACAAAAAACAAGCACAGGTCAAAACCAGGTATTGGCAGTCATGAACAGGCAAATTTATACAAGTAGAGAATCCTCAGTGGATCAGGCAGGCAGAACAGCGGTGGGAAAGCTAGGGTGGATACAAACTAGACAATCTGGCAAAGATAGATAGTATATACTGCAAGACTAATGAGAGAAGTGGCAGGTGAAGGGAATGGTGGGAGAAGGGGTTACTGCAGGTCAGGCAGGACAGGGTGCCAAATGTGACTGAGACCGAGCGAGAGTTAATATATCACAGGGAAAACAGCAGGCTACAGAATAGAGCTGCCTGTAGTCTTGCCACAACTAATTAGCATTCATGGATTTTTAAATTGATAAATAATATACACTGAAACTATGGATTTTTTTTAATTCCAAGGGAAAAAGGGGGAATATGAGAGAGGGTCACAGTGAAAACCATCCATCCATCATGTCCAACTGTATGTTTTCTGCAAAACAACGTTAAGCTTTCAAACATTGGTTGCAAAAATCACCTCTCCACACACATATTTTGTAATATTCATGCAACCAGTGGGACAAAACTTGTTTTTTGTTCTGTCCTGTAGCACCATCCTCCAAACGGACTTTAGATCCATTTCAAAATGAACTGTTTTTCATGTTCTTGTTGGGTGTAATATGTTTTGCAGCCTCTTGGGGGAACTAATGGGGTTTTACACTTTTAGTCATGCAACTACAGTATTATCTTGTGAAAATCTGCTGCAGACATCTGTGGATGCTGTTAGATTTGACACTGCGTGTCGCTGTCTGTTCTTTCCTCTTCCTTATTTTGGTGCAAGACATTTTAACCAATCTCAAATTCAACATTTATTGAAGCAGCAGTTACTGTTTCAGACACACGACACAATTAATTCCAGTTTGTTCACAAGAAATACGTCTGCCCACTGTCTGTGATTTAACGGATGAGTAAAGCAACTTTTTTTGTACAGCAGTGAAGCTTGATAACATGTTTTTCTCTCCATAACAGAAAGAGAAAAATATATATGTCATATGTACTTTGCAGAAGATACTGCTACTTGCATTTGTTCCTGTATCCCCTTTGAAAGGGAGGAGCCACATCTCTCATTTCATTCTTATTTCTGGTTCACATTGAAGAACTTTCCATCTTCAACAAATGGATCCGAGGGATAGTTCTACTTTCCCACCACTTACACCTTCATCTCTATTCTGAGAGAAGACCTTGTGTACATATAGCTTCTCTTTGAGATTCTACAGTTTGAACCATTTACGTTGTGTTAAGGTTACAGAAGTAACCATAATGGGCTGTGATTCAAACGGGTCCTCTCCAACCAGTATTTTACATCAGTATAGATTAGATCGTTTTTATGTTAATGAATATTTAAAGTGATGGCATAAAATATGAGTTTTCTTCAAAGCTGCATATGTCGAACTGCATTTTCAATAATTGTAAAAGATCAAAAGAAAAATGCAGAGGCCCTACTAGACTATGTTATGTCGTCTTATTCTTTATTCTCTATTAAAAGGAGTGTCTTCAAAGCAGTACATGTAAATATCTTGCACATATATCTCCCATTCCTTTGAATAGACATTATGCATTGAAGATAACAGGGTAGTGTGTTCTTACCGCACCAGGCATCTTTAAAATTGAGGGATTGCGCTACCCGCTTCCTCAACATTGAACTCATCATGTCCCCTTTCTGACTCTCTCATCATATCCCTTGAAACACCGATGTGTTGCTCCAAACATGGAGGGTAATGGGTGCCGGCATCACAGTTGCACTTAAGAGCAGGAGAGAGAAAGGTAGCGGCAGATACCTCGACATAAGAGGACTATTTGGAAAAGAGCATGGAGAGAGCTTCTGACCCCCTCATTTGTCACTGCTGCTGCTGCTGCACACATTTCAAAGCAATATGGACAAGCTTGCCTACATATGACACAGACCCTCAGAGATCCGTGTATTTGAAGTAAAGATTTTTGTGAAGGGGATGAAAGGTCTTGTTTTCAGTTTCATCCTGCTCTACTGAAAATCGATGTACAGATGTGTATGAAAGGAAAGCATCAATAGAGACTTAAGTCAAGGGGGATTTCTAGAACATAATCTACTAAATTGATTTTGTAGCAGCAGGTGATGTCACGTGAAATTTTAGAGACTGCGGTTTCTGTGCGAGTCATATTTTGCAAGTACCTAAACATTTCTGTTGCAACAGGAATTCCACATTAAAGCCGAAATTAACATTCTGATGTGTCTGACTTTAATTGAATCAAGCACCATTGAGCACCATTAAAAAATGAAATTGAATGATTTGTTCATATGCTAATTAGAAATACTTATTGCAAATGCAGCTTCCGCTCTGCTTCCTCTCCCTCTGTATGCTTTTCCTTGCTCGCTCTTCAGTTTAAAAGAGCTCATTAGCAAAAACTCTCTTTTTGCTTCTTAATTGAGGGGTGATTGAATACAAGGCTGGATGCACAAGACACCATTAGAAAGACGGTGGCCAACTTCTGTTGCAACTAGGCCGTCCAAACTAATTAGAAGTTTGTGATATAGGCTCTGTGAGAAAACAGCTTCATCTATAGTGCACAAATTGTGGAACATATCTTGTAAAAGCACATTATTTGTATCTCTGTAAATAATCACTGACATTTAACATCCGTCTTATTTGTTACATGAGCTTCTTTTTCTTTTGAAACACACAGTGTTTGGCAAAGTCTCTGTGGATAAATCCACAGGAAGTACTGCAATTATTTGAAATAGAAACTGTGATTTGTATCAGACAGAAATAACTTTAATGGCTGTACAACATAAGATTCAAACTGAAATTTGAAGGAGAGTGTGGCCACTTTAGAATAAGTGGTTTGTCTTGTTACAACTGTCAGACTTGTAATACCAAATATATACGGCACTCAAATGCACACCAGGCAGGACGGTAGGATGAAAGGAATTGTTACGAAACAGTCAGGTACAAATCAGGTTCAGTTTCAGGTTCAGGCGGCTGAAAAGACAAAAGACAAGCAGCAAGAAATAGGCTGGTTATATACTGAAGGGCTAATGAGGGAAAGTGAAAACAGGTGAGAAGGTGAATGAGAGGCGTCAGGTGACTGGGACAGGTGGGACAGTCCGAGGGCATCTGGTGGATATACGTAAAATGGCAATGCATGCTGGGGGAAGTGAGAATGTGGCTAAAGAGAAGGACAGAGAGGCAGTTTAAAAAGCAAGACTGAGGCCAACTATGGCTGTGGAAGAATAGTCAAAAAATGTAGTTCTAGATGATGGTTTAGGCAACAAAATGTTAGGAAATGATTGACAATCTTTACCTCAGCGTAAGCCCTGTGAGGGCCTAAACATAAAATAGTTTGAACATGCTTTGTTGCTCCTGGTGGATATTGGAAAAATATGTTGTCAGTGGACGTTTTGCAGACACGTAAATTAAAGTTTCCTCATTATGTCGATATAGAGTGTTCCTATTCTCTCCAAATATATTTGCTATTTCAAATTAGTTGGATAAAAGTTTAATTTATTGGCTACAGGGGGTGGAAGTTAGGGTTCGCAGAACAGAATATGTGTAAATCATGTGTGTTTTACTGTCTTTGCCAGGTGACAGTCCAAGCCACCTGCATCACTCTGACAGCTATGAGCGGGGACCGCTGTTACGTCACCGTCTACCCTCTGAAATCTCTCCGTCACCGCACCCCAAAAGTAGCCATGATTGTCAGCGTCTGCATTTGGATTGGTACGTCGTGCTCATTTAATGAAAGTCACTCTCCCACCATTTCCTCTAAGTACATTAAATCTTTCTTTTTTTAATGAATTCACCACAGAGTTAATGAGTAATTAGGACCACTTGAATATAAAGTTTGTGAGGGAATTAGCTTGCATGATGAACGAACACAATCCTTGTGCTTTCCAGGCTCCTTCATTCTGTCTACCCCAATTCTAATGTACCAGCGTATAGAGGAGGGTTACTGGTACGGCCCGAGGCAGTACTGCATGGAGAGATTCCCCTCAAAGACACACGAGAGGGCTTTCATCCTCTATCAGTTTATTGCTGCCTACCTGCTGCCCGTCCTCACGATCTCCTTCTGCTACACTCTGATGGTGAAGAGGGTAGGCCAGCCCACTGTGGAGCCTGTCGACAACAACTATCAGGTAGGAACAAGGTTTGTTTGGTTTGGTTTTCCGCTTAATATTCCTTGACTTAGCATATTAAAGATTTGACTGTAAGCTCTTGCTTCTAATTGTCAGCTTATTAAAAGTTTTCTTCTCTGGTGACACTACCTTTCCCTTCATAGTGTTTTTTGTCTTGCTTTGATATTTGCTGTCTTTGAAAATGTCTTTTAAAGCAGCTTTAACGTATCAAATGTCACTCATAATAACAAACCCAGAGAGAACTAACCAACTCTGCTGCTGCCTTTAGCTTTATTGTTTTAGTTTTTAATAAACACAGATTGCACAAAACAGTCTAGCGGTGAACTTTACGCAAGTAACACAAGGTGAAAATTCAATTATTCTCCTCATCTTCTCCTCAGGTCAACCTCCTGTCTGAGAGAACTATCAGTATCAGGAGCAAAGTCTCCAAGATGGTGGTAGTAATCGTCCTCCTCTTCGCCATTTGCTGGGGTCCCATCCAGATCTTCGTCCTCTTCCAATCTTTCCATCCTAACTACCAGCCCAACTACACCACATACAAGATAAAGACGTGGGCCAACTGCATGTCCTACGCCAACTCATCGGTCAACCCCATAGTTTACGGATTCATGGGAGCCACCTTCCAAAAGTCCTTCAGGAAGACCTTCCCGTTTCTGTTCAAGCACAAGGTCAGAGATAGCAGCATGGCTTCCAGGACTGCCAACGCTGAGATCAAGTTCGTTGCTGCCGAAGAAGGCAACAATAACAATGCAGCAAATTGAATCTGACAAATAAAAAACAGCAACAATGAGATTATTGCTTGTATCCAGAGCAATCGCTGCAAGAAGATTAAAAACAAACAATTTCTAGCCATGGGTTCATTGTGTGAATGTCTTCATAGAGCAACTGGCTGATTGCAAAAGGACAGACCTTGTTTGACGTATTTTTGTTATGTTAAATACAACTAATTAAAGATTTTATTTGGGGAAACAGAGATTCATAATACAGAGGGACGTGAACAGTGTTTGGCACAATATATCACCTGTTTGACAGCCAAGGCCAGGCAGTGTCGGCACATTACATCACCCATTGTGCTGCCAAACACCACAGCCAAATAACAGAGGACAGCCGTACACATCTGATGACGAGAGAGTAAACCTTTGCCTGAAAGCTGCCGGCATGAGTCCTAATACTATAATCCCTGTAAGATCCTGGCTGACAAGGTCTGCAGCTTTGGTATACACCATTCATTATTTGGACAGCTGAGGATATTTTGTATTCTGAGACACATGAGAATATGGTATTTTGGAAATGACAGTGGACAATTAATACACAAGAACAGATGCCTATGGACATGTTTTGTTTCTTCAATTTGCTCCTTTCTCTGGAGAAAAAGAGAGACATTCAAGGGTCTCTTTCTGTATCTGACATTCTGGGAAGCAGCTAACACTGTAATATTTCTGAAAGGAATAGTTTGACATTGTGAGAAATATACCTTTTGCCTTTCTTGCGGAGAGTTAAACGAGAAGATTGTGACCGCTTTCATGGTGATTAGCTTAGCTTAGCATAAAGACTGGAAACACGGGGCAACAGCTAACTTGGTTTATTCAAAGATCAAAAAAGCACCTGTAAAGATCATTACTTAGGTAACACATATTGAATTTGTTTAACCAGGTTGTTTTTCATCAAGAAACAGAATATACAAAGGTGTTAATGGGCGTATTTATTTTACTTTGGACAGAGCCAATTCCCCCTATTTCCACCCTTTATGGTAAGATGAATCATATTGAAGTTCTTATGATTAACAACTTAATTTCAGTTTTTCAAACTTGTAAATAGTGTTCATGTCAAATCACAAATTGTAATAAAAACTTATTTTGAACATCTCACTTAGCAATTAACGATACAGAAAGTCTGGCGTTTAATGTATTTCCAGCCACATTTCATTGATGTGATGTTATATTGTCGGCTCACGTATTTTTAATCCTCAAATGAACTTTGAAACCATAAAACCGTCTTCAGTTGTCTAGTTGTGAACGCTGCATTAACACAGTGACGTTCCTAAAAATGTCATACTATTCTTTAAATAATTGGACTGACATTGGATGTCGGGTATTTATTGTATGGTGAATCTGCGCTATAGAGTCCCTTCCCTCCTTTCAACTTTGCAACCAAACAACCTGAACACTAAAAGCTTCATCAGTTGTGCTTATTTTTTGTGCTCCCAATATTGTGTGGCTAATTTTGCAAATACCTCGCTGTTGTCTGTCTCGAGTGGGGTAGATTATGATGGAGGTGGCGTCAGAAAAATAGAAGGATGTTTTAAGTTTCTTTTTTCTCCCTCCACAATAACAGTAAGCTCAGGATAACATGGGGTTAAAGTTTATTTTTGATCAGAATCCAACAACACAAAAGCCAGCATCCAACTGAATGTGAGTTTCTCTGCTGTTAAATGTGATGAGTGGGATCTGGCTGATACAGGGGTTATGACCGGTGAAGCATGGACAGTGTTTACCTTTCTTTTGTGTCCCACACACAAACATTCACACCTTCGTCATACACAGGCATGCACATGCACGTTCACCCGGTACATCCAGGTGTTGTTTATTGGAATCAGTTGTCACATCTTTGAGAAACGCCTCTGTATGATCTTGTCAGGCTGACTAAATTCTAAATGGTGGAGGTGACCCGTATGGCCTGTTCCCTGTTGTGAGATGGAAGTAACACCCATCATTGTTAATACATCTACAGAAACCCTGCCAGCTCATTACACTCCAGATGCTGTCCTTTTCTTTTTATCCCACATAGTGACTTTCAAAATCAGGACTTCATAGAAAATCTGCTAATGTAATTCTCATTTGAATTTTAGATGATGTGAGACTTGCTGTAATCAGGACACCAAAGCGTGAGTGCACCTGAGTGGTTTTGGCTGCCATAATTAGACATGAATAGTTAACAAAAACGTGCTGTCGTTAATTGAGATACAATTTGAGCACAAGTGGACAAACCTTTATCTGTGACCACCTTAAGGTCACTAAACAACGCATCCTCAAAAAAAATGACTCATCGTTTTTTATTGCGTTTTCCTACGAAAGTCCAGAAACACCTGTCAATTTACGCTCGTTACACGCATACTGTCTTTAACTTCCGAAACAGCTTAGACAACAAAACTACTAGATCATAGTTTGGGTTAAAATAACTATGGAAGTGACGATACTTAAATTCGGAAGTTAGGTGACTAAGAAATCAACGTTGACTTTTCTCACGCAGCACGAACAGCAGTCTGCTGGGGGAAAGACCGGTTTTGACATATCCACCTACCCTCCCTCCCTCCCTTGGTCAGATTTAATAAAATATCATGTTTTGGGTTCATGTTAACCATGTTAATGGTTTGGTTTGACACAGGACATGAACACCAGTTTCCTGTGTATAAGTCCTGTGCCTTCCCTACACGTCTTTGATTAAATGTATTTATTATGTCTATGAAAATATGTTCCCTCGCAACGTAAACGAGCACAGATTAATCGTATGGGAAAGACCAGGCTGAATTATATGTATCCCTGAAGTACTTCTTTTTTTTTTTTTAAAGCACCTTGACTTTAATTTTATTCAAATAAGTTTCTCTCTGAAAGTAGGAAGTGATAAGACCTCCATCTATAATTATCTTAGTCTACAAAAAGCAAGGTCCCTCAGTTTCATCTGCAAATTCAAAATGGAATATCTTGTATGAAGTGCACTGCAAAGCCATTTATTTTATCTGAGTGCTTCTGTCATGTCTTAACATGTAATGCTAATGACTGATTGTTGCTTTTTTAACGTATGTTAATTGTGCTGCATTTATTCCAAAGAGTGTATTGTACATCCATTAGGACTGAGGTCATCAATAATATGTAGTTTTCTGCTTCACGTTTAGTATTCTCTTGTATCTACGCTTATTCTGACATTGTGATTAGTACATGGCTGTCCTTGTTCGGAAATATCTTCACTAAAGCTTATTAAACCTTGAACAATAAAACAGAGTGACACATGTTTGGGTTGGCCAAATAACTTGAGCAGCAGTGATGATTTGATAATTCCTCAGGGTTAAGTGAAATCCTGTCTGTAGTAAGTTTATTTTTAATTCATTTTGTTGGTGCCGATCATGAATTATCCTGCAAATAGTGATGTTGCTATCGCAGAGCGCTGCATAGTTTTTGATTAGCTGAATTAATGCTTTTCATTTGTACTGGGAATCATCATGAAACAATGTTTTTCTTTCTTGTTGCCCATTAAAAAAAAAAAAGACTTGTCTGCTAACTTGTTGATTTCTATTTAAGTAATTATTAGAGTCTACTAAGTGAATCAATTGTCTGCAGTAGAGTTGAAAATAGAAGCAGAAATTACAACAAATTGGCTTTTACTCTCACATTGATTATTAGTATACGTAATAGGATTTAATTGGATGTATAATTTGGGGGAATCTTTCAATTTTAGGGATTCACCTCATGGTGTTTTCTAAAGTAAGTCACAATATTTGGATCCACAGAATAGTTTTGGTGGTAAAAGACAAGTTTTGCCATTAAATGTGTAATGTGTAAGCAAATGTGTCCGTTGAATATAAAGAAAAGCTTTATCTTCAAATGTCAGGGATTGACACAAATGTTATGACGAGAGACCTGAGTGCTTTTTTATTTTCAGTATTTTGAGCTCTTTCGCTGCGTCATCAGCCTCTGTGTACAATGAAACAGTCCTATAGTACATAGTACCGAATGGAAAACCTCACAAAAGAACATTCCCATTACTGATTTTCAGACATTAAAGAAACAAAAAACTAAACAGACAATAACGCGACAACAACCATGACTCACCATTCCTGAACAGAAGATCTGCCCACACTGTGCACCAATTTACTGAGTCATGATGACCTTAATAACAATAACTAGTCTACACTCCTTTGTTGTCTATTTAGCACTGAGTTAACTGTTCTGTGAAAAACACATGAACAGCGTTACAGGTTGAGCTAAATTAAGGCTGCAGGAAGCAGCAAGTAGTCAGAATGTGGGAGGATTGATTCAGGTTTAAGCCAGTAACACAAAAACCACGGGGTACTCATGTATACTCATTGTACTCCGTGTATCTTGTGCTCTCCTATGACACATTTCATAATGTAGCCATTATACATTTACCCTGTATAGATTCTTTTTGTGAATATGCTTTTCTGCACACATTTTCTGAAAATATCTGTCTCTCTAGCCGCTAAATGCTCCACCATGTTCTGATGTCGAGCAGGTTTTTGCCTGCAGTCCAAAATGACAAAATGACACAGTGAGACTGAACCAAAACCCGAAAAGTTGCAGGCCAGACAGCTAAACAATGAGCTCAAACTCACTATAATTCCCTGTGTCACTATGAGCAACGCCTTTCATATTGTCATTTGATACATTGTTATTTTAGCTCAAAATATAGATGATAGACACTTTAACTATGGTGAATGTTACATAAAAGATTCTTGTTGTAGTGTATTACTATTAGGTGCTGAAATACTGTCTACAGTGCAAAACTGCAAAAAATTCTACTTTTCCAAGTCGTGACCTCTGCCTTTTACCACGGCAATATTTGTTGTTGTAAAAGATTTAATTAACAAAGTGAATTCTCAGCTGAGGCACACTTTTTTCCTCTGCTGGGCTTATAATTCAATTTTTTTTTTTACCTCCTCCATCAAAGGTTTCTTTTGACATTTTATTAAAGGAGCTGGCGTTGTTGAGGGTTTTCATTCTGTGGCTATTTTCTATTTGTAGTCTCTTGCCGTTCGTTAAAGATTCAGGACGTTCTCTCTTCGAAACCACTCCCACCTTTGTGCTATTATTACAGCAAGCACACGGCAAAAGGAAATGGGACTAAGCCTTGTAAAGATAAATCAATAGAAAGCAGCACAATGAATGAACCAGTTTTAGCAGCAATGGTCTCATTTTTCCACAGCAGAACATAAAAAGCTGGAGAATGATACACTGTGGTGAAAGAGGATCTAAGTGAGCAATCAGTTTTGCTCCTTTGGAGAGTTCTTTAACGTCAGTAATTTGTCTTTTCTCTAAGCCCTGGAGTTTTTATGTTGAAAGCGACTTTCATAAAATAAGCAACTCAGCATCTTAAGTGATAAATTTGTGACTTTTACTCAAAGTTCTACTTACTTTTACTGTACATGATTAATTAACATCCCGATCTTAACTATGCTTGAGGCTATTCTAATAGTTTCTCCACCATTTACAATGTATGTCTGAAATGTGTGTTTACATACTTTTGTGTACTTTTGGTCCAGTTTTTTTCTCTGGTTTGGGCTCGGCTCCTTCTAAAGATCAATTTAAGGGAAATACATTGTCAAATTTTAGTGTGTATTAATTCTGTTTTGTGACAGTGTCTGCAAGCACAAACCGAGGCTCAGAAAAACATGTTTGTCCAAGTTTGATGAGGAATAACTTGACTGGCCTGCACAGAGTCCTGTCCAGCACTTTTGGCATGAATTTGAACACAGACCGGTTGCCCAACATCTGCGTCTGACCTTGCTAATTCTCTTGTGGCTGAGTGGGAGAATTTCCCCGCAATCGAGTTTTTAAAGCTCGTGGGAAGCTTTGCAGAAGAGTGAAGGTTGCTTTCAATGCACTTGGTTTTAGAATTAGATTGCAAATGGAGGTACAGTATAATCTCCACGTACTTTCGGCCATTAGATGTATTTTACGTAACTTTGCATTAGCAACATTGCATTTTTCTAATAAACCAATTTACAGAATTTATAACTCAGCATCCCCGCTGTTCCTCTTCTACCTTCCCACACTTGTTGTCTGGACGTCTCAGGTCCTGACAGACAAATAACACCGTACCTCTTTCTGTGGGCTTCCTTCTACCTGTGGCGTCCCACCTGTTGTCTCTCAGTTACTTTGGCAGCAGCTCTTCATGCGAGCAGAAGACAATAGATAAAGCTATATCAGCCTTTTAAAGTGCTTATCTGTCCACTGGTAAACATCTCCGAATTCAGTGTTGTGTTTTATCTAATAGACTCATGAACCTCTTCACCTGCCTATCAATATGACACAAACTGTTCTACATGATTAATGATCCCACCTGGCTGAACGTGCGGCTCCCACAGGAAATGAATCTTCAGAGTAGAAAATGCAACAACGATGATTAAAAATGGTCTGGAGAAAAGCCAAGGGAGGTGCATGGGCTGCTATTTACCATCCTGTTTAAAGCCTTGCCACTTGACAGTAAACTAGAAGTGTGATAGAAAGCAAAAATTAATTTTAATATCAATCTTACAATGACATAATTTTCCCGCTAGTGCATGCTGGTAAATATAGTTGTATTTACGCCAAACGAGTTTAGGGGCGATCCATCACTCACTGAGGGAGACACTCTCATCGGGTCTGACTTTTGTTACGTATGGTTCTATGTCCTGCTGTGAAGGTTTGTGCTTGGGTGTGTGTGTGCATGTTTGTGTATTCTGTGTCTTTTGAGTTCTAGGTGCAGCTCCCTGACGAGTGATTGAGGGCACCTGGATGAAGATGTGGGTTACCTATATAAGCGCCTCCTTGCTCCGCCCTCGCTCTGTCTCATCTGCCTGGCACCAGACCCTGGTCTGCAGTTGGATTTGTGCATGACAGCTTATTTGTGTCCTCTAAATAAACTGACAGCGGTGGTTGTTGAATCTAACTTGATGTGGTGTCCGTCCTTATGTTGCGACTCCCGAGCCAGTCGTAACACTTTGATCATCTTGACAACACAATTACCTGTAATTACTGCCAAGAACAATTTGATGTCTTTGCTTTTCCAACTATGGTTTTCCCCTAATGCTTCACTCATAATATGACACAGACGTTTTACAGTGTTTCTCATGACCAGTGCGGTCCATCCACTAGTTTTAATGCACAGTTTGCATAAAATGACCTGAGTGTTAACATTTTATTTTTAAAAGTCACCAAAAACATGGTGGAAAAGCCATATTTCTATCATATCGATTCGTCTTATTTTCATTGCGTGAGGTTTGACTGGTGGATTAATAGCACAATATTGGTCGATTAGCTACACCACAATACCGCAGCTGGCAGCATTACACTTTACACACTTGTCCTGCAGTGTGAGAACTAATGTGTTGCTGAAAGACAAGTCACTGCTTGCGTCTTGTCACGGAGTAAAGTCAAGATCAATAGCGATCACTCAAATCCATGAGCTGCTTCAAGTCAAATTAAGCTAAAGCCTTTCTCACAGAGGGATTCTGGAGAGCTGCTCTTTCGTGCTATTTCTGCCATCATGAAGAGTGGCAGTTCTATGATTGAGCTCATTTAAAAGCACAGGTTCAAAAAAGACACCGGGGAGCTCCTCAGCTCAGAAAACCATGAAAAGGAATCGTGAATCAGAAGAAACAGACAACTATATAGAAGCGAACACATAAAAGTTAGAACTGAGACGGTGAAAGGTGTGACATACAGTCAGGGTATTTGGACTGTGACACAATTTTTCAAATTTTGCCTCTTTACACGACTCCAATGGATTTGAAATGAAGCAGTCAATATGTGGTTGAAGTGTAGACTTTCATCAAAAAGGTGTCAAAGCAACTGAAGGAGGCCATTATTAGGTTGAAAAAACTTAACGAACCTATCAGACAGATAGAAACATTAGAATTGGCCAGTTTGGTGCGTTCTTAAAGAGAAGGAATGCACTGGCAAGCTAACCAACACCAAAAGTCCCAGAAGACCACAGAAGACATCTAATGTGGATGCTCGCAGAATTCTTACCTTGGTGAAGAAAAACCTCTTCATAACATCTACTGAAGTCAAGAACACTCTGGAGGATGTAGGCGTGTCATTGTCAAAGTCTACAATGAAGAGACGCCTTCATGAATCTAAACACAGAGGGTTCACAACAAGGTGCAAACCACTGGTAACACGGAAGAACAGGAAGGCCAGATTAGACTTTGCCAGAAAACATCTAAAAAAGCCTGATCAGTTTGGGAACAAGATTCTTTGGACAGATGGAACCAAGATGAACTTGTTCCCGAATGATGGGAAGAGAAAAGTATGGAGAAGGAAAGGAACGGCTCGTGATCCGAAGCATTCCACATCATCTGTCTAATATGGTGGAGGCAGTGCTATGACATGGGTATGTATGGCTGCCAATGGAACCGGGTCACTGGTGTTCATTGATGATGTCATAGCTGATAGAAGCAGCAGGATGAGTTCTGAGATGTTTAGGGCTAAACTATCGGCTCAGATCCAGCCTAATGCTGCAAAACTGATTGGACAGCGCCTCACAGTGCAGATGGATAA